ACTTAGAGGGAGAGAGATTACTTTTTAATTAGTATTCCTGTAAATCTATAGGTGCTCTTAAAAATTAGGTTTATTTAAAAAAATTAAATTTATTAATGAAAACAGAACATCAGTGTAAAAAATTGAAATTGATTCCACGTTGAGATGACAATATTTTGGATATATCACGGGTTAAAATATGTCACTAAAATTAATCTCACCTGTTTCTGTTTACTTTTTTTTAACATAGCTCCCAGAAAAAGTTAAATTATATCTGAGTTACATTCTATATTCATTGAACAATGCTGGTCCAGAACCAGGTTCTCACAGCACCAATGGATGAACCCAGTTTTCCACTTAATCTCTGCTTCTAGGCTCTATGGTTTCAGGATCTTTTCTCTCATGCCAGTTCTTTTTAATAATTTTCGTATTAACATTTCATAGTTCTCCGTTTGTTTGGGGAAGTCATCATAATTCCTCTACATCATATTCTGGCTCCAGTCTTTGCTCCCCACATGGGGTACCCTGCCTGTGAAACTTCCTCTGGCAACCACTGACAGAGTCACCTCTTGCTTCTTTGGTCTCAGGAGCATCTCCCACGTTTCTGCCACTCTACTCAGAATGTGGTCCCAGCAAGTCCTCCATGTTTAGTCCCACCTCATGCTGATGACTCCTGCCCTTTGTTTTCACTCCATACTTGTGCAATGCCTTTGTATGGCTACCTCATATATGTGCACTTTTGTCAATTTCTTGCCTCCCTCACTGCGTTGTGAGCTCCAGAAAAGTGGTCTGTGTTTCCACCCCTCCCGTTTCCCAAGGTCAGATAGGATAGCATGTGTAACATTACAAGCTTGGCTTTTAGACATCCATGTTCAAGTTCCAGTTTGGCAACTGCGTGGCCTTGAACAAATCATGTAACTCTCTTAGCCATGTTTCCTCCCATGGAAAATGGGCAGAAGAATAAGAACATTACCGAATAGGATGGTTGGAGTGTCAGTGTTTTATGTTCAGATACAATCAGAGGCACTTTTAGTTTCTAAGTCTGTTTTCAAACTCCTGCAAAATGGGGCCAGCGGACAGCATGTGGTTTCCAAAGCCAGCAGTAAGTCTCTGACGGTACTCTGGTTTGTTTTAAGTTCCATGTCATGAGAAGTGGTTAATGACACTTTCAGCTCAGGAACCTCTATCCTGTCCTTCCCCAGTGATGATTTCTCATGGTTACTCAAACACATTTCATGACTTTTGACAAACGATGAGAATTTAGGTATATGATAAAATATTTGTTAGCAAAGTGTTCTTTTTATATTTCTCACAGAAAGACACAGTTCAGGCCACCTTTTGTTTATGTTAGGGCAAAGTCTAGTCTTGCCAATAGTTTGTTTCAACCTGATTTGCTATCGAAAAGCTTATTTATCTCCCTGACTTAAAGTCTTCATCCCTTGTTTGTCTTATCAGGAAAAAGGAACAATTCAAAGCATGATACTTAAATGAAAAAAGTACTGTTAGGTCCACATGATGGTCTCTTTTATTTTAATTAAGCTGATTCCTTACTTATAAAGAGGCTCATATTAGGAATTGCATATTTTTCTTTGTCAAAAAGGAGGCTAGGGACACTTGAGTGGCTCAGTTGGTTAAGCATCTGCCTGACTCTTGATTTTGGCTCAGGTCATGATCTCAGGGTTGTGAGATTGAGCCCTGTTTTTGGCTCCATGCTGGGCGTAAAGTCTGCTTAAATTTCTCTCTCTCCCTCTGCACCCCACACCCGGACCCTGCTCATGCTCACTCTCTCGCAAAAAAAAAAAAAAAAAAAAAAAAAAAAAAAGGCTAAATTCAGTTTTCAGGAGGGTAAAATAAGAGATTTCTTTTTGGCATTTTTTTTTAAAGAAGATTTTATTTATTTATTTGAGAGAGAGCACACAAGCAGGAGGAATAGCAGAAGAAGAAAGAGAAGCAGGCTTCACACTAAGCAGGGAGCCCAGTGCAGGGCTCAATCACAAGACCCCAGGATCACGACCTGAGCTGAAGGTAGACACTTAACTGACTGAGCCACCCAGTCACCCCTTCCTTTTAGCACTTTACACAGTGCCTGCCTCATAGTCCATGACTACTAGGAACCTGGGGTAGTATGATGCTGTCATGCCACACGCAAATACAAATTTTGGCTGAATTAATAGCAAGTAAGTTTGATATTTGAGTAACATGACATTTTATCAATGTTAAATGGTATCTTGTGAATACTAAAATGTAGGTTGTAATGTAATTCAAGGTTTTGGTATGAAAACAGAAATCACTGTCATGACAATGTTTGAAATTCTTTTGATTTTTGATAAAATACCCGTATTTACTTCATAACTGTTTCATGTCTTCTTTTCTAAATGAGTTCAGGGCTGTGGTGTCAAACACATCTCTGCATACAGCATATTTGGGGAGGGATAGATTTTATTCTTAATAAGTATGAAGCCAGGTTCTAATTAATCACTGTATTTTCTCCTTTCACATTGTAAGAAGTAGAGACATTTCAAGAAGTAAAAATGGGACTGGGGTGCTGGGGTGGCTCAGTCCTTGGATGTCTGCCTTCGGCTGGGGCCCTGATCCCAGGGCTCTGGGATGGAGCCTGGCATGGGGGTTTCAGCACAATGGGAAGCCTGCTTCTCCCTCACCCACTCCCCCTGCTTGTGTTCACTTGTGCTCCCTCTCTCGCTCCCTCTCTCTCTGTCAAATAAATAAAATCTTTTAAAGAAAAAAGGGAAAAGCAATGAGGACTTTATTTGGACATCCACAGCTCAAATATATGGTGACAAATGTCTTGAATATGCAGAATTATTTCATTAATGTGTATTTTGACACTGGAGTACCGTCTGCTTCCTCGTCCCTGAGTAATGACCAGTTAGGAACATAATTAAACACGTGGCTGAAAGTAGGCTGAAGGGGTCGGAGCTCAATACCTCCACAGCAGCAGCACTCAGCTAAGTGATGGTGAGAACACGGGACCAGGCCACGGGCACGCTCACCCACCCTCTGCCACGGGGACTGTGCATGCAGGGCCCGCCCCTCCCCCCAGGCCCTCCATAGATTGTATTTCTGCGGAAGATACATAATATATATCTACCCCCGAAAAAAAAAAATCCGAAAATGACAAAGACGCTCCCACTGCCGTGGAAGACGCTTTCTCCTGCTGCACCAGAGGGGCTGTGCTGTGACACTCGGCCCCCGGGACCTGCTGTCCGCGGCCACTCAGCGCGGCTCACACCGGTGCGTTCCGCGCCGGCCCCACGATGTCTTCACTCCCACCTCACAGTAGTGTCAATCTGGGACGGTGATGACACACACAAAAGCTTGTGACTGTCTGTGGTTGCCCTAGAAATCAAGCCGAGGCCCGCGGAAGGCTCAGTCGGAGAACCGAGCCTTTGCAGGAGCGAGAACCAGACGGAGCCCCGCGCGGGGAAAGCCGACGCCGTGACGCAGAGAGCGAGGGGGCAAGCGTGTCATCCTCCAAGCTGGCGACCGACGGGGCACCGGCAGAAGAAAAGGACGCGGAAGAGCCGCAGCACGATGCTCCTCGAGGGGTGGCCTCGGGCGCGGGGCTGGGAGGGCGCGGGGGGGCGCCGGGCGGGGACGGTGACCGACTGGCGGGCCGGACCCCACCCTCACGGGGCCCCCTGGTGACAGACTCCGAGTGGCTGGATCTGAGTGCGGAAGAACAGTGGGTATTACGTCCTTCCGTTCTGGGTTACAGGCCGGAGAACGTTCGTTTATCCCCGCAGCAGCGAAGCGCGGGGACGAGTCGCGCAGGCGCACTCCTGCCCCCGAAGCGGCGGGTCCCGGGCCTCTCCCGCCCCCGCGGCCCTCGCAGGGAGGCCTGATGAGTGCCCCGGGGCCGGCTCGGGGGCCCGGTGGAAGGACCCACTTAAGGCCCCAGCGCGTCTCCCAGCGTATAGTAAGCTCGGTAAACGCTGTCATGGAGATAATGCGAGAACCTCATCGAAAAGAAAACATGAAAGCAGGAGGAGGAATCTGTTTAAGAAATTAGCTCTCCTTACACGGTCATTATAATTGTGTTTTTTAACCAGTGGATAATATAAAATCCTCTTTCACTGCAGAGAGAAGTCAGAGAGGGGCGCCTGGGTGGCCAGTCAGTTAAGTGGCTGCCTTCGGCTCAGGTTATGATCCTGGGGTCCCAGGATTGAATCCGCGTCGGCGGGGGGGGGGGGGGGGGGGGGGGGTCCCTGCTCAGCAGGGAGTCTGCTTCTCCCTTGGCGCCTCACCCTGCTCTCGTGCTCTGTCTCACTCTCTCAAATAAATAAAATCTTAAAAAAAAAAAATAAGTCAAGAGAAACAGAATATTTACAACCTAGGTTGTTAAACACAGAACCTATTTACTAACTAAACCCGTTAAGAAATAAGAGTTCTCCGGGATACCTAAATGTGACAGCAAATTCCTCGGCTGTATTTTTCTGCATTAAATTAAAACAAACAAACAAACAAAAAACTTTCCTGCCATCAAATTGTTTTATTGGCTATCTAAAATATAAACGTTTGACAAGAATTATGAAATATTACAGTTGGCTGTTGTTAGAAATTAATGATATCTTATACTATTTATAATTTTATGCATAACTGAATTTAAAAGGGGCTTACCAGCTTTGAGAACTTATTCTCTCATCAAAGGTATGGTTCTTTGTTCTACCAACAATTATACAAACTGGTTTGTGGAATTTGAATCAGTAACTTAGCCTCCACTCTCCAGTGTCAAAAGTATTTGTTAGTCTCAACCTCAAACTCAATATGATTCTTTGTTCATACTTTTATCAGAGAGCAGTCTTTCCTTGTTTCAAGGAAAGCTACAAGTTAACCATAGTCCTGCCATCGGCACAGAGAAATGCCTCTTGCTATTAAAAAGCATATGACAAGCGGGTGAACAGTGAGTCCCAAATCAACTCCCTCCCTCATTTCACATGAGGGCCATGTTTCCTGAAACCTTTCTCCAAATCCTAGTGCAATTTCTCTCTTTAATCTTCCAGATTGGCCTGGGCCAAAAACACTCAGGACCCTCGGATTGCAGTGGGTTCCCAGTCCCCACTAGAAAAGAAGATTAAGGTGAGGAAATACATTTATCGTGAACTTTGGAGCCAGTAATACCATCATAAAAAGTTTATCTCCAAGGTAGGAAGGGCCTGAGTGTTTCAAGCCGGAGTGGTTTGTCTGTTAGGCTTGGCTCCAGCTGGACAACACTGGATAAGACAAACATCGATTGTATCCCCACAGGGCTGGGGCAGGTGAGGGACACGGACACTAAACAAATTATGATAAGGGTCATGAAAGATGGGAATTTTTTTTTTTTGCATGAATACATGGAAGGTCTGAGGAAGTAACATTTAAGCTAAAACCTAAAGATTATGTACATAAGTACTGTAGAGTTGCTGTGTTGTGTGTTTGGGAGTATATGAAGAAAAAACATGTGAAAATACTCAGATGGCAAAGAGAATATGGTTTTCGAGGAACAGAAGAGTTGGGGTAACCACAGCAGAGTGGGCAAGCAGTCCAGCTGAGAGGTAGTCAGAGGCCAAATTATGAAAGCCATACTGGGATTTGGGATTTTCTCCTAAAAGCAACAGGACACTATTCTAAGGTTTCAATGTAGGGAAGGGACATGCTCAGGTTTCTGTGATACAAAGACCGCCAGTTGCTGTGTCCATGGTCTGATGGGACTGGGAGGCAGAGAGAGAGAGAAGCGTGAATTCAGGGAAGCTAGTTAGGCTGCTACCCTAGGGTGGGGGCATTTTGAAGTTAGTAGGGACAGGACTGAGAAGGGGGAAAGAGAAGGAAACACTTCGGAAGAAGAGCCAAGTGATGTTAAGTAGATCGCGTCTAGGGGTGAAGTTGAGAGGTGAGTACTGGGCAGTCTCGTGTGTCTCAATGGTCTCACTCATCTCTCCTTGCCCCCTCTAGAGCAGTCCCTGACACACGGTAGGTCACCTGTTGAGTGATTGAGACTGTCCATGCCCAAGAAAGTCTAAATGAGACTATGGTCATCTTTAGTGACAATTTCTGTTGTATTTTCTTACATTACATTCAAAAGACAGAACCAGCAAAGTAGGTGGAAGGGCGTGGCCATAGAATGAAGGGCTATTCGGTCACCTGGGGGTATTCGGCTACTGGCTGTGTTGCAGTCTAGGGTGATCCAAGATAGCCTAGGTCACATGCCCTTGGCCACAGTCTGGAAGCCAGAGGGGTAAAGTACTCAACTCTGTAAAATGCTGCTGACGTCAAGTATGACAGGGACAGAGACAGGACCACTGAATTTGTTGCTGTGGAGCTGCCTCACAACCTAGACGAGAGCAGTCTCGGGGCAGTTGGGGCCTGGAAACCCACCCGAGGAAGACCAAGGGGGAAGCGGGAGGTGGGAGTGGAGAGGGTTTCTAGGTGTCTGCTTCATGGCACATGGTGGAATTTTGATGAAGCAGGAAAGAGAATTTGGTAATTGCAAATTGAAGTTCCTGAAGCTTCACAAGGACAGGTGGGAGAACTGGTCTTTGATAGAGAAAGGGGCAACGTTTCCATTGTAAAGACAGAGTCCAGGATCGATGCAAGGTGGTGGTTTTGGCAACAGAAAGAAGAGGGCGTTCCTGACTGTGTGCTTCTGCTTTCTCAAGGAAGCCTAAGGTGAACTCATGAAGGGGACCCTGGGGAGGGGAGTGTGAGAGGTTTGGAGAGAAAGCCAGGGAACATGGCTAGGAGACCCCTGACCAGGGACATGGTGTCAGAGTGCCAGACACTCTGTGATCTATGTCATGGCCTGTAACGAAGGACGTCCAACTTAAAAACCTTCTAATCCTTCCTTCTGACAAGAGTTTAGGTGGTGTCCATTCTTCAAAAGTGAGGAAATTGTTGCTCCGAAAGTCTCAGCAGGAGAATGAAACCCTTCATCAGCTCAAAGCCATGTCTTTTGACTTCCAGTTTGCCAAAGCGGAGGAGTACTACTATCGACGGCATCAGGCAACGATGCTGGGAGAAGCATGGAGATACACGATGGCTCCAAGGTGGGAAATTAAAATACAGAGACAGAGACCACAAAGTGACAAAACAGGAGATACTAAAAAATGGGACTATTTAGTGTCTGAGAGGGAGCTGGACCACATAGAGAAGCACATCTACCGAGCCGAACAAGCCAGAGGCCTCCGAGACCACAAGTACCGGCTCCTCCCTCAAAGGGTTCCAAGTGAAACGGTCATCCCCAAAATACTAAGCCCAGGGAAGGAGGAGAAGACTGCAGCTGTCCAGAAAACCCATAAAACGAAGACCAAAAAGCACAGGGCGGCCTGGGCAAAGGAACAGATCAAGGGACATCAGGATCGAATGATTCGGGGGCGAGAGCTCACAGAGCAGAGAAGCGAGAGACTCCGTGCCTGGAGGGTCTCTGCTCCCGCTCCTCCCCTCCACAGGCCTGCAACACACAAGGAGGAAGAGAAAGAATTCGAACGCATCACAGCCTACCCGATTGCCCAGCCTTACCAGGAAGCGCTCATAGAAGTGACCATCCTCACGGAAAAGTCCAGAAAAGAGGAAAACGTAAAGAAGCCACTCCGACGAGAGCTCTTGAGTATGCCACCGTTTTTGAGAAGTCAACTAGAAAAAAAGGAAGTTTAAGTTATTTTATGGATGATTCTATTTCTTTCGCAGGCTGGCATCCTTTGACAACTGTCAGCGCAGTAAAATCCCATAACCCCCGAACTGTGTTTCTGAGTCTGTTTGCATCAAACTTGGGGCGGGGGGAGTTAAACCAAGTGTTTGTTTCACCTCTCTGCATGATTATCCCGAAACTTAGTGACTTAAAACGACCACTATTTTGTTGTATCTCCCAATTCCGTAAGAGGAATTCAGACAGAGCTCAGCTGGGCGATTTTTCTTCCCTGTCCTACACTGCCAGAGCTGCTTGGGGATGATCAGGTGACAGCTGGACAAGAGGGTACAGGCCTCGTGCCCTTGGGGTGGCCTAGAAGGCTGGGTTTAGCTGGTCCCAGTCCCTGTCTCCTCTCTCCATGTGGTTTCTGACCTTATTTCACTGTGACCAGGCTCCAGTGACCTGTCAGACACCACAAGATTTCTTGTGACCAAGCATCTGCAGTCCCAGAACGTCACTTCTGCCATATTCCGCTGCTCAAACAAGTCACCAAGATCAGTCCAGACTGGGGGCCAGTGGGCGGGTGGAGGGGGGGAAATAGACCCTTCCTCTCAAAGAAACTTGCAGCAGGCTTTTAATCCACTACTGCAGGGCTCTGAGAAGTCCATCACACACGTCTATCCTTCTTTATCCTTGCCACTGTCTTTTATGTTAATACTACTCATAAACATGAAACAAGTATTTTTATACAAAGAAACCAACAAGTCCATAGCTTCTGGAGTGATCTCGACTGAAGAGATCTGGCTCCCTCCCTGGAAAAGTAAATACAGATCGAGGGTTTAAAAGCCTGTTGCAGGCGTGGATGGGTGGCTCAGTTGGTTAAGCCACTGCCTTTGGCTCAAGTCATGATGCTGGAGTCCCAGGATGGAGTCCCGCATCAGGCTCCCTGCTCAGCGGGGAGTCTGCTTCTCCCTCTGACCTCTCCCCTCTCAAGCTCCCCCTCTCTCTCTCAAATAAATACATAAAATCTTTCAAAATAAATAAAAGCCTGTTGCAATTATGCTGACAACACATTGTCTTGCATTCTCCAGTGCACCTAGAATTTTATAGGATGTCAGAAGCCTAAACCCTAGCCCAGAGGGAGACCCAAGGCTCTAGGACTTAGCCCCTCAAGGAGCTTACAATCTACTTGGAGAGAACAGAAGTCAAAGCAGCACACGCCCAGTTCTGTGCTATGAAACACTGGATGGAGAATACGGACTACAGAGTAGGACAGGTTATGGGCAATGCCAGCCTGAGAATACCCACCCTGAGTAAGAAGCACTTGGGCACGGCAGTTAGGACAGGAAGGCCTGGACCCAAACTGGCCACCGTCAGCACAGAAGTAAGGCACACCTGGGCCCTGGGGGAACTCCACTGGGAAACAGGTGCAAACGTGACAAGTACAAAGAGGGTAACTGAGGTAAGAATGAGGTGCTGTTAGAACAGAGTTCAGCAGGAAATAAAAGACTTTGGGGACATTACGTGTGTTTGATATTTAAATGATAACATGTATTCTTTGGTTTTTTTCCTATTCAGAAGTTTATAATTTTTTTTTTAAGTAGGCTTATGCCCAACATAGGGCTTGAACTCACCATCCCAAGATCAACCCTGAGATCAAGAGTTTGATCCAAGTGTCCTGTGCTCTCCCTACTGAGCCAGCCAGGTGCATCTCCTATTCAGAAGTTTGAAGAAAGTGGTCCCTAATCTCCCTGCCCAGAGAACTTCAGTTGACACTTTTTTTTTTTTTTTTTTGAGATTTATTTACTTGAGAGAGAGAGAGTGAGAGAACGTGAGCAGGGGGAGGGGCAGAGGGAGAAGCAGATTCTACTGAGGAGGGAGTGCAACTCCAGGCTCCAGCCCAGATCCCCTGGGATCATGACCTAAGCCAAAGGTAGATGCTTAACTGACTAGCCACCCAGGCGCCCCAATCCTTTTTTTTAAATAATGAAAAAGGACATGGTTAGAAAACTCAAATAATTATAGAAAGGTACAAAATGCCAAGTGACACCTAGGCCACTTTGGTTTGTCAAAGGTCATCACTCATATTTTTATTTTTATTTTTTTTAAGATTTATTATTTGAGAGAGAGAAAAAAGCACAAGTGGGAGGGGCAGAGAGAGAAGGAGAAGAGAATCTCAAGCAGACGCCACACACAGCATGGAGCCTGACATGGGTCTCGATCTCATGACCTGCACTGAAACCAAGAGTCAGACGCTCAACTGAGCCACTCAGGCGCCTGCTACATTTCTGACACGAGCAGAGTTTGAAGCAAGCAGAAGGCAGGCCAATGAAAGGGAAAGAGGAAGCAACCAAACATGCATGCTTGAAAAACTGTAATGTCTAGGCCAGTGTGTGATTCCATTACTGTGAAATGTCCAGAATAGGCAACTTCTATCAGAAGGTAGGTTATCGGTTGGGGCTAAGGGGTGAGGAGGCGGATGTGGAAGGGTGACAATGTTCTGGGGTATGAAAGAATGTTCTCCATCAGGCTGTGGTGGTTACAGAGCCCTGTGAGCAGACTGAGCCAACGATGAATTATTCGCTTTAATGGGTGAATGGCACGGAATGTGAAGTTCATCGAGATGGAAGAGAAAGCCCGAGTCTTTGCGGGGGAGTTGAGCCTGGGTGGAGGCAAGGAGCCCAATCATGGAAGGCCTCCATGGGTCTGCAAGCTGAGGTCTTTCAAGCCTTGGAGGCAGTGGGGAGTCACTGAGAACTGACAAGTGGCTCTGAAGATGTGGAGGGGACGTGAAGAGCAGATAGGAAGCGGGGGACACCAGACAGGAGTCTGTGGCAGAAATCTGGGCGGGATGGAGAGAATCAAGACACCAGGTGGGATATCATGACCAATTAAGTAGGGGCTATAAGGGAAAAGGGAAAGAAATCCTAGTTTCTTTGGAGTTAATAAAGTAGTCGAAGTACCCCCGTAGGGATTAAGGGAGGACAGATTTGGGAGCTGTTTATACATAACCCAGACCCTGTGCTGCCAATAAGCCAGGGGACACAAATGCTTTTTGTGAGCATTTCAGAGTGGAGTCTTTTCAGAGTGGAGTCCAACCAATTTTGGAGAATGTTGAGGACATAGATATAGTAGGACTCGCAAAGGTAAGATGGGGAAAGGGAGCCAAGGGAAAGCACCAGGCGTGAGGATGTACAGCTTTCCAGGAGTACAATTTTTTAAGATTTTATTTATTTGGGAATGAGCGAGCAAGCAGGGGGACGGAGAGGGACAAGCAGACGACACTGAGCACAGAGCCTGATGCGGGGCTCGATCCCAGGACCCTGAGGTCGTGACCTGAACCGCAATCAAGAGTCAGACACTTAACAGACTGGGCCACCCGGGCACCCCTCCAGGAGTGGATTTTTAAGTGTCAAATGCATAGCATTTAACCCTGGGATCAAACTATTTGGGAAGGAATCCCCAATTTGGCCGAAAACAGCCTCTGGGGAATGCTGGGGAAGGAGGTGCTCCTCCGCCCAGGTTCTAGGATGGCCAGAAGGGGAGCATGCAAGTAATTCTTATTCCAGGAAGAGACAGGACAGTAACCAAAGGTCACAACAGTTGTTTTAGGATGAGAGAGAACCATGGTCGAAGGGAAGAAAGCGCTAGGTATGGAGGGTGGGGGACACACCCGCGCACCAGGAAGGACTGGGACCCAGAGAAGGAGGATGTAGAAAGCTGGAGAGTGGGAAAGGGGATGAGGGAGGGGCGAGAAAACATCAAAGCCAGGCCTGAGGGGCCAGCAAAGATGGGAAGCACGGGGCGGGGGTGGGGGGGGGGGGGGGGGGTTGTCCACCCTGCAGGATGGTTTTCCTCTGTGTTGTGTGTGCAGACAGGACTGCCGCTGGGGACAAGTGTCCAGCCTGGCCTGGGAGAAGACTGAAAGAGTTTCCTATGTCTAAATCACAGGCTGAGCCTATAAAACTGCTGATATGTGTGCTGATATAAAACTGTGTTTTCCTTACAAAACAATTTCATATAGTTCAACCTAAGATTCGTGGACTTGACCAGCTAATTTTACAGCTAAAGAGGTGTGAAAAGAACCATAATGCTGTACAGGCCGTAACAACCTAGCCAACAGAGTTTCAGTGGGACAGGACTGGAGAAAGGGCAGACTCTGGCATGATGGGAAAATAAAGAGTAACTACAATTATTTGTGAATACGGCAGTGAATTTCCTTTAATCAAAGACAACCATGACAAATTCATTAACTATCAAAAGCTACATTTTACTAAAAACAATCTGTCTTTTAAAAATGTTTAATCATACAATATATACAATACATGCTGCTTTCCTTTTTGGATCTCACTATCCATTTGAGTCCTAAAAAAGAGGGAAAAATAGTTGGTTAACAGTTTATAAGTGATAAAATGAATCAGAAGTTCCCGTAATACATGAACTTGATATACGTTGATAGGATCTAACAACTAGTCCTTTCTCTCTGAGTAGGGGCCCATTCTACCCACATTATATACCTTCTGTCTGCTCACTTTCCCTCCGTTATCTTGGAACAAAAGCAGCTCAGTTAATTGAGGCAAGTATTAAGAGTTTACATTAAGTATTAAACCTCAAAATTATAGAAAATTTGTGATACCAAAAAACCCTTAGTGATCTAACTAAAAAACGTCCCATTTTACAGAGAGATTTTTTTTTTTAAAGATTTTATTTATTTATTTTACAGATAGAGATCACAAGTAGGCAGAGAGGCAGGCAGAGAGAAAGAGGAGGAAGCAGGCTCCCTGCTGAGCAGAGAACCTGATGTGGGGCTCGATCCCAGGACCCTGGGACCATGACCTGAGCTGAAGGCAGAGGCTTTAACCCACTGAGCCACCCAGGCACCCCTACAGAGAGGTTTATAGACAAAATGAAGCTGAGTGAGATTAAGTCGAGCATTCAGTAATTTTAAACCAAGGGGATGGAGAAAAGAGCATCCAGGTCTCCTGACTTCCACCCACAAGTAAATGCCCGATCATCACAAAGATTTCCTTCTAGCACCTTCTTCTTCATAAAAATGAACAAGTGTTCCATAGCCTAAATCAGATTTCAGAAATGCCCATTTACTGACATT